AATGCACCCCCGAAAATGGCCCATTTGGGCCCCTTTCAGGCTGCTGCGGGTCGAATCAGATTCTCTGATCTGAATCGGCTTCCCGCAGTTCGGCCCCATTATATCCTATGGGCCATTGAAGTCAATGGCAAAAACATAGGGTATATTCTGGGGGCTGGAGGGGAGGGGGTTTGAGGGAGAGGCTCCAAAATCACAGGGTAGCTGCTGGAGCCTCTCCCCAAGATACCCGCCATGTGTCAGGAACATTGAACCAGGGGTCCAATTCTACAGGCCCCCAAACAGGTTCCCCATCCCCTCCATTGTTCTCTAAGATATGAAAAAGTTACTTAATGGGACTTAAATCGCAGGGTAGCTGCTGGAGCCTCTCCCCAAGAGAGAACAGTGTTATCGAGGCAATGAATATGAAATTAAGCATACTCTGGAGCATGACAGAAGACAAGAGGGCCTGGCGTGATGTGGTCCATGGGGTTGCAAAGCATCAGACTTGACTGTGCAACTGAACAAGAACAACAACAACAAGGTTGCATAATTTTGTTTTTAACTTCAGTCAAAATTGTATTTATAACAAACGTCGTACACTCCTTCTCCCCAGGGGAGACCCAGTATGGATTACTTTGTTCTCCCCTCAATTTTATCCCCACAACAACCCTGTTAGGTAGCTTAGGCTGAGAATGTGCGACTTGCTCCAAGTCGCCCAGTAACCTTCAGTGTCAGAGTAGGGATTCAAACTGGGATCTCCTTGATTCCAGTCTGATATTCAAACTGCTATGCTATACCATCTCTGATAGCTCAGGTTTGTTCTTAACCTCCCTTCATCTTGTAAAGGAGGAGACACATTTTGTCCTCTCTCTGTGTGCTGCCTTTGTACACAATGGGGACCCAGAGTGGCTTATTCCATTCTCTTGTCCTCCATTTTATCATCACGACAACCAGATGGTGAGATAGGTCTGGCTGCCAGTGAGTGACTGGTCCAAGGTCACCTAGTAGCTTTTAGTGGCAGAATGGGAATTCTAATGTGGATCTCCTTGATCCTAGTTTGACACCCAAACAACTGTACCACACTAGCTTTTTATGTATATATTTTTCACCCTCCCTGTCTTTGCCGCCTATCTCCCCCGTATGAATCCCTAGTGGCCCACATTGTTCTCCTGTCCTCCATTTTATCCTCACAACAACTACCCTGTGAGATATGTTAGGCTGAGAGGGTTTGAATGTCCCCAGGTCACCCAGCAAGCTTCCATGGCAGGTTTCAAATCTGTGTCTCTTAGGTCCTAGCAGAGGTAGATTCGGGGGGAATCGCGGGGGATCGCAGTTCCCCCGGGTGAGGTGCGGAGGGGCGGGGCAAATGATGAAGCCCTGCCCCCCGCTTCCGGCCGCCCTGCTTCCAGCCCTCATTCAGCCAGGAGGAGGCAGGAGAAGAGGGAGGGTAAGTTGCTTCCTCCCCGCCTCT